AGTTACATTCATCATTGGGATCTTGTACCTTTACATGACTTACCTTGGTTCTTATTTTTTCCCCATTCCCAGACATCACTTCACCTCCTGCACTGCTCCTTATTTACAAAGACTTTGTTTCTCTTTTTTTTTTTCTTTTTTTTTTTTTTTTTTTTTTTTTTGTACTGAGGATCAAACTTGGGACCTTGAGCTTGCAAGGCAAGCAGCAGAACCAGTGAGCTAAATCTCCAGCCCCTGTATATTCACTTCTTAATCCACCTGGAGTTCATTTTTGTGTGTGCTGTGGGGTGAGACTAAACTCCATTTTTAAAATGGGTAGACAGATGTTCCCACAACATTCTTTGCAAAATTATCCTTTTATCACCAGTCTAGATTGTCTTGTTTATCATCAGTTTTTGCATTCCTCTCCTGTTCCACTGTTCCACAGCTCCCTTTATCTGCTCCTGGGCCAATACCACATTCTCTATGCCACTTCCTTATTCCAAGCTGCTGTTTTGGTCCCAAAGAGAAACAAGGGTGCCCAAAGAATAACTGTCCTTCCTGTTGGAAGATGTATGCATTTCTTTCCTGCCTGGGGCTTCACCTTGTCCTCACAAGAGCCCACTGAGATAGTGAGCACAGGTGGAATGATTGTCTCCACCATTATAGGTGAGAGCTTGAGGTTCAGAGAGTTTAGGTAATTCAGGAAGTTTAAGTTTGCAGGAAGCCAAAGGCAGCTGCCAAAGAGGGCCCAACCTCCTGGCTCCCTTGCAGGGCTTCCTCTGATGCATGGTACCTGGGTAACCCCTGCCACATGCAGCCTTGCCCTGGACCTGAACTCTGCCTACACTTCCTTTCAAAATATCCTTGTATTTTGCTAATCACCCTAGGTGTCATTAAACCTACACAATACAAGCCTGTGCCAGATGAGGAACCAAACTCAACAGATGTAGAGGAAACTCTGGAGCGGATAAAGAACAATGACCCGGATCTTGAAGAAGTTAACCTCAATAATATCAGGGTAAAGTCCCTTTGTTTCACTTTACCTGTGTGTATGTGTGTGGGGGTTGGGGGGGAATCTCCATGTCACCCAGATGCCAGTGGTCCAGGCTGTGCAGAGCAACAGGGCCCTCTTTGTACTCTGGGTGTATCGGGAATAGAAGCAAACCTTTACAGATGGGAGTGTTGGAGTGGGTGGTGTGCTGTAAACAAGCCCATCCCATAGTCCTGATTTCTTTTGGAGAATGACTTTAGGCCCAGATGTTCAGCATGGGGCAACCCAGCTCCAATCTGGAAACCTGCCATGTTATTCAAAACAAAGATTCTCTGAGATAAAACTGTGAGTCACACTCATTCTGCAGCACGGGATCTCAAGGCTGAAGAGCCCAGTGCCCACCAGCTTGTGTGGTCACTGTACCTTGGGCAGGCCCCGCCCCAAACCGTCACTGCAGCTGCTGGGCCATGTTCACATTCAACCCCATTTTACAGCCATAGAAAGGAGATTTTGGTCCAGATGTCCAAAGAAATAACCAAGCTGTCCGCCCACATCTCTGACATTTCCCTGTGTGAACAGCCAGGCAGAGGAGTGACAGGGAGATGGGCAGCCCCCTCTGAACCCAGAAAGGCTGCAGGAAGAATTCTGGGTCAGGAGCAGCTGCCTGCCCAACTGCTCAGCCCAAGGCCATGGGATTAGTTCTGAGAAGGTGGAGGGGAGTAAGACAAGAAGCCAGGCCCTAGCTCCTCTCCTCTTTCCTTTCTTCTCCATTTTCCTTTCAGTAGCTGCCAGTCCTGAGGCATAATCAGATTGGAACCCTGTGCCCCAGTGTTCTCCTCCACCTGGCTCCCCTGCTGTACTCTCTTGGGAGCTTAAGTAACACTGTGAAATGAGAGCTTGGCAAAAATGCAGCCAGGTCCTCTCTCTGTGCCTCAGTTGTCTGCTGTGCACTCTAGGGAGACACTGGCACAACTGACAATTGTACATTCTGTCAATGAAGTGCACTCTGAGGCTTTGGCCAGTTCCCTTCTGTATCATGAGACTGTTGGATCAGATCAGTGGTTTTCACTTGAGAGGAAAGCACATGTACCAATACGCAGATCCACCTCCAGAGACTGGTTGTGTTGTCTGGGGCAGGCCTGAGCCTCAGCGTGGTACATGAATTTACCAGGACCCACTGGTGTGCAGCCAGAGCAGATCTTGGCCTTGATCACTCTTAGTATCTACTGCAACTCCCCTCCTGTTTTCTAGAAACAGGTATAGAGAAAGAGAGTGCCCCAGAGTCACACAGCGATATAGACACCTTGCTAGTGGCTGACGTGGAGGCCAGGCCCCAGCCCCACCTCTACCCCCAGTCCTGAGCCCTTTGCACAACACTCTTTCTATCTCCATGCCTTGATTTATGCCTCTTCTTTGCCCTCCATGCACACAGAAAAGAGTGTGGGTCCTATCTAAAACTTTCAGGTGTTATTTTCTGTCCATGTGCCAGAAAGTGTTCCCCAAATCTTAGCCATCAGGATCAAAGCTCATTCAGCCTTCTGCCCAAAGACTCTAGGACTCAGGAAGGAGCCAGTCTGCCCCCCTGTCCCTGGCAGGTACTGCTGATTACTCTGCCCCTTTCTTTTTACAGAATATCCCTATCCCCACCCTTAAGGCATATGCAGAAGCCCTGAAAGAAAACACCCATGTGAAGAAATTCAGCATTGTTGGGACACGGAGCAATGACCCTGTGGCATTTGTATGTAATCTCTGTTCTTCTGTGTGGACAGTGAGGGGCCTAGGCACAGACAGGTTGGGCATGTGGCCCTCGGGCTGGTTGTGTCCACCTTTGTGTGGTGCAGTGACAGGGCCGGGCTAGGAGCCAGGAGGGGATATGAGTAGATAGTCATCACCCAGCACTACCTATTATCATCCAGCTAATCCTCATAGCCACCCTGCTCCCAGAGATGTGGGTCTCCCCACTCTGCATGAAGTTCTACAGTTCACTTGCTTGGTCCAAAGTCACACAGCAAGGGAGAGGCTGACCTGACATTCAAAGGAAATCACATGACCCTGAGGCCACATCATTCTCTACTGAGTGACTCATCTTTGGAAACAGCTCCTGGGCCTCAGTTTCTCCATCTCTGAAACCATTGTCTTCATCAATGGATCCCAATGACCAATTTTATTTGTTTTTTTTAACTCATGTCATAACAGATACTGATGATTAAATTAAATGTACTTATTTTAAAGTAACCATTAATTCTTCTAAAAAATATTCAAGTTACATTTATTGAGAATCTCTCAGCCCAGTAGGCTCTGAGAATCCAACTATGACCAAACAGTCTCAGCTCCCATGTTCATGAACACACTGGTCCTCTTGGCCATATGGTCACCTATGAAATCACCACAGGGTAATTGCTATAACACTAGGAATAGATAGAAAGTGCAGAAATTACCTTACTAGGGATGCTGATTGACCATTTAGAAGCAATCAGAAAATTCTTTTCTGATTTTAAAATAAGTAGGACAAATTTCTTCAATATTTTGGAAGTGATAGAATTTTCTTCTATATTTTTGAACTGATAGAAATAGTTTACAATCTCCCATTGCTGCCCATGGAGAACCTCTTGATCAATGACCTCTGACTTCAGTGGATTCTGAGTTTGCCATTGGTGACACAACTGGCAAAGCCACATGACCCATTACTAATAGGTAATAGATCAGAAAGTAGGCACATTTATGTTGGCACTCAACTCAATACCACAAATGCTTTTGGACATGGACTCTTTGCCAGACCAACAGCTGGTATCAGCCCATTCATACCTGCATAGGCAGTGCCAAATACTGAAATGCTTCTGGGTTGGTTGCAAAACCCACTTCCAGGGCTCTATAAATGCCCTCATTGCCTGTCTTATGTCCTCCTCTGTGATCCATCCTAGGTATAGTTAGCATGTGTCAGGAAAGGACCTCAGCTGCCGGCATGTGCAGCCCCAACACCTGGCACACCTGCCTACTGGTCGTTAGCTATTTGGATGGTTAGGCCAGGCCAGGCCAGACTGTTCCTAGGGTCCAGGCGGTACTGTGGAGCCACAGAAAAGACAGACTGGGTCCCTCAGCACCTCCTTAGAAGGCAAACCTGGTCACGGCAAGCTCACACACCATCCTAGGGCACACTGCTGTGGGGAGGCAACAAGAGGTGATAATTTTGGCACAGAAGGCTTCCAGGCAGCTGGGCCTCTCCTAGGTTTCAGCACACAGGGGCAACACAATACAGCAGGCATGCTGGCTGGGGGCGTCACTCCAGACAACAGAGCCCACCTATCACTATCCTGGGCCATTCAGCTGCTGGTGTATTCTTTCCCTGTGACACATCATTTCCACCAACTGCTAATTACCTCATTTCCAAAGGCTCTGATTGTCATCTATACCCTCTGGTCGAATCCCTCTGAAACGTGCTGAGGGCCACCTGAGCTCTCTTCCAGCTGGCCCTGGTCATTTGCCAAGTGGGGTGGTTTCCCAGAACCTCTTCTGCTCTCTGGTGCTCAGATGAAGAAAACAGTGACTCTGTAGTATTTCAACAGGACAGTAGAAGAGAGGAGCCCAGCACACTTGGGAGAATTGAGACTCTGCTGGTCACTCAGTGAGCACTGCCTAAGAATTGACTGTGTGCTGAGCACTGTGTGGGTCCTGTGGCAACATAGGATATTATGGTGACTTTTCAGCCCACCATGGAAAATAGCCTAAAGGGAAGATACATGATCATAAAGGCAACTGTGGCCGGGTGTAGTGGCACACACTTGTAATCTCAGGTACTTTAGAAGCTGAGTCAGGATGATCACATGTTCAAAGCCAGCCTGGACAACTTAGAGAGACACTGTCTCAAAATAAAAAATAAAAAGAGGTGGGAATATAGCTCAGTGGCAGAGGTCCTGGTTTTGATTCCCAGTGCCCAAAACAAAACTGAACCAAGGAATATGGGTTCTAGAGGCAGTTACTGATAAATTCTGTGAGGTTCAAGAGGCAGCCTCAGCTAGCTGTGGGTGTCATCAAAAGCTCCTGGAGGGCCGGGGATTTAGCTCAGTGGTGTCACTGCCTACCTCACAAGCACAAGGTCCGAGTTCGATCCTGGTACCAATAAATGAATGAATGAATGAATGAATGAATGAAAAAAGCTCTTGGAGGAGGGGGCATTGAAAATGACACTGAAGGATGGGCAAGTTTTGAGAGTGATCAGAAAAGGTGTTGCAGGTGTGGGAAAGCACAGGTCATGAGCAGGAACTGTGAGCAGCCCCACTGACAGGGCACAGTGACAGCTGATGCTGGGCAGGGGAGAGAAGGAGTCCATAGATACGGGTGAGGCAGTATAGACTTCTCCAGCGGGGGTGTTCAGGAACCAGGGTGGTTTGGAGTGGGGGAAGAAACACAGAATCATGCTTGTGAAGGAAGTTCTGGAGATCACCTTGCCTCTTCCCATTGGCATTTATGGGTCTGTCCAAGAGGGCTGAGTCTTTCCTAGGGAGACTCACAGGCATTCCCACTTTTCTTCTGTGGTTGAGGCCCTTGCTGAAATGCTCAAGGTGAACAAGGTGTTGAAGACGCTGAATGTGGAATCCAACTTCATTTCTGGAGCTGGGATCCTGAGCCTGGTAGAAGCCCTCCCACACAACACATCTCTGGTGGAACTGAAAATTGATAACCAGGTAAGTCGGGGAGGGGTGTCCTCATGTCCTTTACCATGTACTGCATACCAGCCCGCAGTTGCCATGTGCTGTGGGACAGAGCAGACAACACTGATTATAGAAGCTGCAGGGCCCAGCTGTAAGGGGCCTCCAAGGTCATCCAGTCCACATGCTCCACTCTGCTCCTTCCTTCTTCATCATTCCTACCCTGTGCTCTGCCAGCTTTTTGTTGTGTTCCCCAGTGATCGGGAGCTCACTCCTTACCAGCATCACTGCTTCACTCTCAACCTTTGAGAATATCACCCTTAGACCCAGTATAAATCAGCTCCCTTGTAAGTCCTGTTCTATGGTCCTAGTTCTGTTTTCTGCTGCCCCCCGACTTCTGCATAAGTCCCTGGATTCTTCTTCCCTGAGCTAAATATCCTCATTTTCTTCAGTCACCTTCACTCAGTGGGGCTTTAGAATCTTCTTCCACTAAGGTGACTCTGGTCAAACTCTAGTTTGTCTTTTTCTATTACTGCCTAGCGTTACTGTTTCTCTCTGCTTACTGCGGTTCAGTCATCTATCATTGGGCAGTTTCGGTCCTCACTTTCTAAGAGGATGTTAATAACAACAGTGGTCTGTGACAGTGGCTTGGTTGAGAGTCTACTGTGGGCCAGCTCTGTACTGTGAACCTTTGAAGCCATCATCTTTGATCTTCACAACAGAACCGCAGGATGCAGGTATGATCAGTCTCCATCTGGAGGAGAGGCAGCCACCCATAGATGCTAAGGCAAGCAACTTTCTCAGGGTTACAGAGTTAGCACTTAGGAAGCAGGATTTAAATCCAGGTTTCTTGAACTCTAGAACCTACACTCCTTCCACTACCACACGTTGCTTCCAATATTAAAATATTTTCTTCTTTCTGGGTAGGAATCCCAGGGTGTTTTCTCTACCTGAAAGTTTTGGCTATATAGTTATACAAATATACAAAAAAAGGCTGGAAGGAAATATTATAATTTAAACAGTGGTCACACCTGAGTGAGATTATCAGTACTTTTAAATTTTTTTATTGTAAAACGTGACAACTGGACGGAAGGGTACATAAACTGTAAACATGTATCTTAACAAATCACAACAGGCATGTGTCCCACATCCAGGTCAAGAACTAAACCTCACCAGCCTCCAGAAGGCTTTGACTGCCTCCTGCCAGTTATCACCCTTTTGAAATTCTTCACAACTTACCCCACTGTCCCTGTCCTCCACCCTGCCTGAACAAAGCCCCTTTTCCTTGGGGTTCAGTTGAAGCCTCCTTTTCCCGATGGTGTTCTAGAGCAGCTGGAACCCACTTGCAATGATTGAAGCGCCCAAATCTCCAGCTTCACTACACAGAGATGGAACATGGAGTGCTTGTACCTTGAAATCACTCTGGTGGGCGGGAATATTAACACTATGGAAACTGGCAAACACTATGTAGTAGGCTTTGGAGGAAGGGGTGAAGCCACAGGCCCCTGGCTTCTCCTATAGCCTTCAGCTCCTTCAATCCTGTGCCCAGACAGACTCAGGTGCTCCTCTGTGTTCCCCTAACACCTCGGCTTCCCTGTGCTACATCTCAGTTATCTCCATATCCCAGTGCCGTGCTCAGGACCTGAGCCTGCAGGCCTGCTTGGTAAGCAAGGTTGCCGTAAATGGTTGTACGTATTGTTCACTGCACCAGGAGGTGGCAGAGGAAAATGCAGTGTGCAATTTACTTTCCGAGCTGTGTGCCTCAGTGTGGAGCTTTGTTCACCCTGAGAGGAAACATTTTCCTAGCTCCTATGAAGCCAGCATCATCCGGGTTGTATGAACTTGCTGCAGAACTCCTTGCATCTCCTGCCTGCCAGTGGCTTTGGCTCTGCCTCAGCATCCCCAGCACCTCCCCAGCCCTGCCCTTCTGCCCTTCCCCTGGTCATTGCTGACTTTGCTCTGCCGGAGGCAGGAGTAGCAGAACAGATGGAACAAAGGTGTGCTGCAGGCTTGATGACTCCGGTGACTCCAGGGTTTGGCCTTGCAGGAGTTGGGGGTCTATCCAGCATCTGCTGAAACCTGACTCCCAGGGCAGAAGTTAACCAAAGATGACGTGAGGCCTCCCCTCCAGTCACTGAGGTAGCAGCTGACAGTGAACTGCCTACGTTGCCTTTGCTGCTGTCCCTCCAGAGCCCACAAGAGAGCCAATGCTGATCTCTCCCTGGCTGAACACCTTCGTGCAAGAACATTCATTTCCCTGAGGCTTAGTTTCTCCACTTGTAAAATGAGGATAATTAGAATCTACTTCTAAGAAGGTAATAGATGTACACGCGGAGGCTGATGACTTTTAGAATTACTTTGCTGGTGCTGGAGCTCACACTTTAAGGATTACTTTACTGAACAAGTGCCACAGCCAGGTGTCTATTGTCCCATTTCATGTTCACAGAGATTCTGTAAGTAGATGAGGAAATTTTACCAGCTGGGCTATGTGACCTGCCCAAGACCACATGGTTTGCAACAGAGTCAGATCAAACCCAGGTCTGTGGGACTCCAAGATCCATACACTGTGTCTGTCTGAGTTTCTGAAACAACTGTTTTGTGTGGCCTGGTTTGGCTATTCTCATCGGTCCTTTTTGCCTGGTTGTGCTGGTGTGTGTGTGTGTGTGTGTGTGTGTGTGTGTGTGTGTGTGTGTGTGTGTGTGTATGTATGTGTGGTTCCACCCCTGCCCTCTAGGAACCCCTCAGTGTCCGGGAGGAAAGGACAATACAGAGAAGAGCACTGTACCAAGTACTCCAGCAAGCCTCCGATGGCAGGCAGTACACAGCACCCTCAGTCAGGAGCACGGACCAAGGAGGGCTTCTAGGAGGAGGCAGCATTAGTTGGAGATAAACTCTTAGGGTGAAAAGGATCTGAGAAAGTGAAATGGAAACCATGGTATCCTGGGTGTAGGGAACAAAGAGAAAGTGTGGAGAGCCAGAGCCCACCTAAACAAGACTCATGTCAAACGGGGATGGGAGCACAAAGACCTCTGAGTGGATAGATTTAAGGGAAAGTGGTCTGAAAGGCTGTACTCTGGATCCTCAGTTGGCTGGGAGAAGATTAGGGTGGGGAGGAAATGCCAGGGTCTGGGAGACCAGTGGGGGGCTATGGTCACCAGGGGGAGGGGGACTCATGGGGAGTACTCCTGCTTCACTGCAGTCTTCATCAGATTGGAGTTGGGCCTGGGGTGGGCAAGGAGGAGGAGCAAATGAGTCTCAATGAAGGGGCCTGCTGACCCACCTCAGAAGAGGGCCACCGTGCCTCTCTCAGTGTCCCGGGAGGCCTGGGCAGAGCTGCCTCCCTTTGGTGCCCGAGCCCTGGGTGTGGGGGAAGGGGGAGTAGGACAAAGAAGAGGTGGTGAGTGGCATTTGATTTATTCCTCATTTTTGGTTAGTCACTGAGGTCTTTGGAGGCCAGAGCTTTTGCCTCAATCTTTGTGCTTGTAACCTGTGACAGGGAGACTCTGTCCTCCTTTCTCCTTATACGGCCAAAGAAAGGGACTTGGGGAGTTCTACCCAGGGTGACAGGGAGCCTGGCAGGCTGGCTTGGCCACAGGCTGGGATTTGGAAACTGGGACTCTGAGGCTGTTTGTTTACTCTACCCGCCTCTTTATCTCCAAGCAATGTTCTGTTGCCCCTGAAGCTGCCCTGACACTGGGTGGGGGTAGGAAGACTGAGGGGGCCCATGTGGAGACTGGAGGGTGATGAGAAAATGTTTGGCCCAGACTTTTATAGGTGGGGAAACTGAGGACGAGAGAAAGGATGGGGCTAGGTTTGGACTTGGATCTTGGCTGCACTAATGGATGGAAAGAAACCCTGTGTTCCTCAGGAGAGACTCCAAAGGCTGGGTGCCTGTAGGCCCCACCGATCCTATGCCATAGCCAAAAAGGACTTCTCTGCCAGGTTCATTTGCCCTCCCTCCTCCCAATCCAGCAGCTCACCCCTCAAAACAGACAAGGCCTGAAAACACAGCCCTTACCCCCACTGAGAAATGTGCAATGCCTTGAGACGTTGTCCAGATTTCCCACTTTTCCTCCCAGTATCTGTCCGTAGCTATGCTTTATGTTTTGAAGAGAAGCTAAAGGAAGTATGTTACATTTTCTTGTTTTCCCATATTGGATGATTTGTGTCTGGCTTTTTTTTTTTTTTTTTCCGAATCCCAACCTTGTCTATGAATGCATCTGCTAATGATAGCTGCATAACAAATTATTCCAAAATTTAGTGACACAACCTTGGGGTCCTATAAAACAAGAATAAACATGTATCAGTTTAAAGTTTCTGAGGACTAAGAATTCAGGGGTAGTTTGGCTGGCTATCTTCTCCCAGAGTGAGCCATCCAAGGCAGAGGAACAAAGAAGAAAGGCTCTAATATTTTTATGACCCAGCCTTGGAAATCGCAGAACAGCTCTTCCACAATAATCTCCTTGTTAGAAGTGTCACTGGGCACAGCTCTTGCTGAAATGAAAGGGAATCAGGCTCTACCTTTTGAAGAGAGTAGTATCAGAAAATTTTGGAGACACTTTAAAGTCACCATAGTGAGAACCTTCTGTTATTTTCTGTCACCACAGTGTAGCAAGAAAGCCCTTTCTAGCTGCAGAGCTACCCAGGGACAGAGCAAGTGCCTCCCAGTGTGAGGAGCTCCACTGGAGGTGTCTCAACAGAACACAATTCACAGCTTAGAAATGGGGGCAAGTTTAATACCAGGTAGCATTCAGGTCTCTGGTGATTGACAAGATAATTCCAGAGCTCTTCACTGTTATATTCTCACTTATTCCTTCCCAGTTCATCACAAAGAAATGGCCAGAATTGGCTCAACGTACAAAGTGAGTTTCTTGCTATCCATGGTGCCTCTGTCCAGAACGGAATCTCAAAACCACCAGCTCCAAGTCATAGCTCAGAACCCCTGAAGCACTGTGCACACTGGGCCAAGCTGCATTAAAGGTCATACTGGCCAAGGCAGACCTTGCATTCTGAAGCTGCCCCTTCACTTAGGGCAG